TCCGGCCGGCCCCTGCCGGCAGGCCTACCACCTTTCACTGACGCCGCGATACACGGGTACCAGTTACGGATGGTACGAGCGTCTCCTAGAGAGCGACTACCGCTCACTGTCAATGAGCTCTGTCGCTTTAAAATGAGACTTCCTCGCGTCGGTCAGTCATTGTGGGACCAGCGCTGCATCTGGGCGGCATGTACGCTTGCGTTCTACGGAGGGTTTCGTAGCAGTGAGTACCTTGTTACCTGTCCCGGCCGTGGTTTGATGCGGCACGATGTCTACCTTACGATGACCTATTGCGCGGTGCGTCTCGGAGTCCAGAAGACTCGACAGCACGGGCAGCCGATGTGTATCACGCTGCCGGCCACTGGTACTGATACATGTCCAGTGCGTAGCCTACAGCAATATGTTGTGGCCCGCGATGCCTGCTTTCCCAGCGCAGCACCGTTGTTTGTCATGCAAGACGGTACACCACTCAGTCGCCGTCACCTCAATGCCATACTACGCGCAGTGCTCGGCACCGGCTTTAGTAGCCACAGCTTGCGCATTGGAATCGCCACGGCTGCCTGTGAGGCGGGCGTCGATGACTCTGTGATTCGTCGACTGGGACGATGGTCCAGCGAAGCGTTTAACGGTTACGTTCGGTGTCAGCGGCCGGAGGTAGCCCGAGCGCTACGACTGGTGTCCGCCAGGGCAGTTCCGCCACCATGAACAGAAGCCGACACGTGTCTTGTCTTCGGCACACCACGTGCAACGGCGTGTGGCCCGTCGTGCCCGCAGGTTAGCTGGCGACAAGGGATTTCGTTACCGTTCGTGATTCAGCAATACATGTTACTATCTGATCCAAGTTACTGACTTCGGCCGGGTATGCAAGTGGACGGTTAATTGCAGCATTGGATTCCGCCCGAGGGACAAGGGGTTGCGCGTGTCCTTTTTCCCGCGGGGAATAATTTCAGTCAGGCAGGGACATATATCAGAGCCTGTAGTTTTAGGACGGACTCTTCTCCCCCCCCCCCCATCCCAGACAGTGACGGTCCCTGTGGTCTGCATTGCAATCTGCCCTTTCATGGTGCACCCTGAAGTGTTACCCCTTTGTGCTGGTCGGGATCTGATTCCACACTGACTCGTGGTGCTCCATTTTAGGTGTTAGACCTGATGGGGTGCTCGGCGCTGGAGTCGCCCTCTCGCTCGTAGAGCCGTCGGCGGCAGCTCCTGCCGACCTTCCGCCGCTGCCCACCTGGGGACAGACGGGGGCGGCGCCCGCGCCGGTGTCTGACGCCGCGGCCCACTGCCCCGTCGAGCAGACCGGCTCTCGTCAGCCGCTGGCGCAGCCGGCTGTAGCCGACAGGCAGCCACCTGGCGCACCGCTCACAGCGGCGGGAGCGAGTGGTGCGCTCGCCAGCTCCACGACTTACGGGGCGTTCCCCCAGCCGCTGACGGGTGACGCGCTCTACGGAGGGGTTCCCCCCCGAGAGACGGGGCCGAGCGCGCCGCTGAGTGCCGTACTACTCGCGCCGCTCACTCCCGTGGCTGAACAGCCGAGGCCGTGTTTCGTCCCATCTTCAGCGAGTGGGGGACTGGCGTCGGCGACAGCCACTACGGCGGCACCACAGACCGGGGCGGCGGCCGGCCTCGCGGCCGCGCCCACCGCCCTGCACTACGGGGGAGCTGATGCAGCTACCCACGCGACTGGAGGCCCACCGCCACCGTCGTTTCCGGACGAGCATCAGGCGGCTCAGACACAGGCGCCGGCTGGTGCCCCCCATTTCTTCGGCTACGCGGGCCCGGCTACGCAGGGCGCCGGGGGTGGAACCACGACACGTGCCGGCATGACGTGGGCGCCGCCGTCGTGGCCGGCTCCACCGTGGGTAGTGCCCAGCGGGCCTGCTGTCGGCGGGGGCGCGATCAGTGGACCTGACATGTCGCCGGCCACCATGGAGCGTATAGCACGGAGCCATGGGACAGAAGTGGATAAGTTTGAAGAGCACGCGACAGCGAATGTCCAGTCACTGACCAAGCCGCCCGCGCCCGTACTGCGTCTGGCTGGCGTCAGCGACACAGCTGCGCAGAGTCTTCGTATCCGCTCGAAGTGCGTCTCTGTTAGTGAGTCGTACGGCAGCACGGAGCAGGGCCCGACGTCCGTCGCCGAGTATCTCGCACGCGTCGCAGAGCTCTCTACCTATCAGGTGTACCATTTTCCGGCCGTCGGTTTCCAGATGGCGGTCTACATGGCTTGGTTGCTGCGGCGCAGCGTTGGCCGTTCCATGGTGGAGGTCCGCACGGCGGACATGAGAGCTCGTGAGCTCATGGCGACACGACCGCAGCAGCTCATGACCGCGGTCGATTTTGACCATGTGGCGGCGTTGGGCCCGGCCCCCGTGACGGTGCCCAGGAGATTCAATCTAGCTACCAACTCGTTGTGTCGGAATTTTCAACAGGGCTTATGCAGCCCCGGATCGGTCTGTCCGTGGGGTCGGTACCACCCCCGCTGCGACATCTGTCGTAGCGTGCAGCATCCCACCGGCCAACACACCGGTTCGGCCCACCAGGCCGTACTCAGGCCGGGCCGTCAGCACGGAACCGGCGGTCGCAACTGACGACGCTCAGGTGTACGACTCCGGTGTTGACGTGGCGGCCCTCGACAGACTGCTGCGCCGCTGCCCAACCCTGTCACCTGCGTTGCGGGACACTGTGGTTCAGCGGTTTGTCGACGGAGCAGATATTGGCTACCGGGGATCTCCAGACGGTCGGAGTACGGCTAACAACAGATCTGCCCTGTTTCGTCACGCTGGAGTTTCAGCGGCCATCGCCGCGGAAGTGGCGACGGGGACAACTCGAGGACCGTTTCGGGTGCCGCCGCTGCCGGGGTTCATTGTTAACCCTCTCAGTGCGAGAGACAAGAGTGACGGAGGTACGAGACTTATTTTGGACCTTTCACAGCCAGCGGGTAGTAGTGTAAATGATGGAATAGATGTAGAAGATTTTCGTATGTCCTACACTCCCGTTAACGAAGTGTTTCGATTAATTTACGCAGCTGGCGGCCGTGGCGCGCTACTCGCTAAAGTGGACATTCGAGCAGCGTTCAAGCTGATACCAGTCCGCCCGGAGCAATGGCGACTGCTTGGCTTTAAATGGGACAGACATTATTATTTTCAAGTTGCTCTAAGTTTCGGTAGTAGGAGCTCCCCGCGTATATTTAACGATTTTGCCGATTGTTTAGAGGCATTGTTCCAGCAGCGTGCTGGAGAGGCCCAGGTGCGCAAATACCTCGATGACTTCTGGCTCGTAGCACCGTCCGGTTCTCCCGACGCCCAGCGAGCATACCATGCTATACATGATACTTGTGATATGATACGTGTCCCCCTCGCAGTCGAGAAATGTGTGGCGCCCACAACGTCCCTGACACTGCTCGGTATCCATATCGACTCTGTGGCTATGACGGTTGCTTTGCCCGACGACAAACTTCAGAGACTGAAAGAGACAATCGGTGAGCTCCTTCACAAACGAAAGTGCACAAAGCGTGAGCTCTTGTCCATCGTGGGACGGCTAGTCCACGCGGCTAAATGTGTACCACCCGGCCGCGCCTTTACCCGCAGACTGCTCGACCTGGCATGTACCGTCCCCGCGATAGAGCCTTGCCCGCGCCCATGCACCGGGTACGTCTCACCGCGGCGGCACGCGCCGACCTACGCTGGTGGGCTAAATACCTTCCGATGTGGTCCGGCACTTTCCCGCTGTTTCATCCCGACGACCGTACCGCGAATGCCGACGTTTTTTTCTACACCGACAGTTCTCGCTGGGGTACCGGAGCGTGTTTTGGCCAGCGATGGTGGCTAGTTCAGTGGCCGGAATGTATCACCCGAGAGACACACCAGTCCATGACGTGGCTCGAGATCATTCCGCTTCTCGTATCATGTGTACTGTGGGGCAGTCTGTGGTCTGGGAAGCGTGTACGAGTTTATTCCGATAACATGGGCGTGGTAGGATGCCTGTCGCGTGGATGGTCCAGCAATCCGAAATCATGGCCGTACTGCGTCATATTCTCTTCGCATCCGCATGCCAGAGTTTCGTGTTATCCGTGGCCTATGTACGTACAAACGACAACGGTCCTGCCGACAGTCTGTCGCGCGGTGATTTGCATCGTTTCCGATTGCTGCGACCGCACGCCCAGGCTGACCCTGATAGTTTGCCGCTCGGCCTGTCCGATTTCCTGAGTGATCCCAGCGGGGACCCGGCGCCTGTCACTGGAATCCAGTTGTGAATAGAACAATACCGAATACACGTACATACTTATGTTCGCAATAACATTCTGTCCTGTCGGGTGTTATTGGCGCCAGTAAGGTAAATGGGATACACTGGAGAGCGAGAGACGGGCGGCCGATAAACAGCCAACACTGATGAACGGAGCACACGATGCCGACAGCGTTACGGTGTTAACTAAAGATAACGCCAGTTATATGCCAGTTAACGGTAACGTAGCATCATTGCTCTTGCGCGCCCGTAAGCCTATGACGGAGCCGCACTGTACGGGCCGGTGTTCGGTGACCTTGACCTGACCGCGCCGGAGGGGCCGTAGCGCGGCCGGTGGACGGGCGAGCGCGAGGGGAGCGAGCCTCAGTGCGGGCTGGCGGCTCCGGGCGGCGCGGCGGCTCCGCCGAAGCGGGTTTCCGCCACCCACCCCATCCGACCAGCTTGCCCCTTTTCTATTCGTTTATCCCTTCCAAGTTCCACCATCTCCCTCGTCGCTCGTTTCTTTCTCTCCTTGTATCGCCAGTAAGGTAAATGGGATACACTGGAGAGCGAGAGACGGGCGGCCGATAAACAGCCAACACTGATGAACGGAGCACACGATGCCGACAGCGTTACGGTGTTAACTAAAGATAACGCCAGTTATGTAAGCAAATAATATTGATTTGTTTGAAAAAAACAATGTCATTTAAATATTTAAAAGTATTTATTTGTGTAGTGTCGTCCTGCCGTCCTCGTCCGCCACTCACAGTCACGTCTTCTCACATAGACGATGGTATTGAACTCAAAGAGACATAACAAAAGATATGCAGGACAGCGCGCTCCGCGCCTCTCAGTCCCCGGCCGGCGACTCCCGCCCGGGCGCCGCCCAGCCGCCCAGCCGCCCAGCTGGCCAGTCTGCCCCTGTGGCATGCTGTGCCGCCGCGAGCGCCCCGCCGGGCGGGCGGCCCAGACACTACATCTTTCCCCCCTACACAAAGGTACACCTACGGACACCAACGCACAGGTGCACGAACACGTCTCCCAGATCGCGTGCGGTGCCCATCACTCTGAGCACCCTCGAACCCGGAGCCGCTCGTCTCACTGGCCGGCGAGCGCGTCGCCGCCGCTGTGTCCACCGCGAGTGCCGCAGATGGTGACCCCGCACGTCGGGCTGACGATCCGGCCGCCGCTCTGGAGTCTGTGCCGACGCCGTGGCCTCAGCCGGAGGCTCGTCGACCGGCTCCGGCGGGGAGCGGACGACGGGAAGGTCCGAGAGCTGCGGCTGCTCGGCGTCTCCCAGTCCGGTCGGAGGCGACCCAGTCCAGCGAGTCAGCCTCTCGGCGTGGACCAGTGCTCCACTGTCCAGCCGGTACGCCGATGGTCCAACCAGCTCAGCGATCCTGTGAGGAGCAGAAAAACGGTCTCTACCTTTCCTGGGCACAGGCATGACACGGTACCTCACCCAGTCACCGACACTGAATGACGGTTTGACAGATCGGTTCCTCCTGTCCCAGTACACTTTCTGCCGCCTCTGCCGTTTAGCGACACGGTCCCTGGTACGGGCACTGTCGGCCGCTACCTTACCCGGAGGGTGCGTGGGTGCATGCAGCATCGTCCGGAGTTGACGACCATGCAGCATCTCCGACGGACTCAGGCCGGTGGTTGCATGAGGCGTCGAACGGTACGTCCTCAGGAACTGGCGCACCGCCTGTGACCAGTCCTGCTTCTCCTTGGACGCCGTCTGCAGCGCGGACTTCACCACTCTGTTCATGCGCTCCACCGCTCCAGCGCCTCTGGGGTGGTACGGCGTTACCCGTACATGCTGAACGCCGACCCTCCGCAGGTAAGCCGTGAACTCTGCGGACACAAAAGCCGTACCGTTATCAGAGACCACTTGTAACGGGTACCCCTCCCTGGAAGCAACCACCTCCAGGAACTCGATCGCCGCCTCCGTCGACGGGCTCGAGCAGAAGCCAACCTCTGGCCACTTGGAGAAGTAGTCCACCAGAACGATGGCGAACCGCTGCCGCTGTCCTCCGCCCTCCATCGGCCCGATGAAGTCGATCCCGACCTTCTCCCACGGTCCTTCAGGCAGCGGTACAGGGTGCAGCGGAGCGTTCCTCGGAGTAGCCGTCTTGTCGGAAGATGCACAAACCTCGCACGCTCTGACCATCTCTTCCACCGCTGCATCCAGTCCAGGCCACCAGAAGTGCTGCTTGATCCGCTGCTTCGTCAGGACTATTCCTTGATGTCCCTCGTGTGCTGCTGCTAACAGACGCTGTCGGAGGCTGGTCGGCACCAGCAGACGCTCTCCCCTGACCAAGACATCTTCTACAGCTCCAAGCTCCCCCCTGAAGCGGTAGAACGGCCTGAGAGCTGCCGGACAGTCTCCGTACCGCGTCGGCCACGGCCGTGGGATCTGCTCTGCCAGCTGCTGCAGCTGAGGGTCCGACCGAGATGCCGACACCAGCTCCTCCCTCGTCACCGCCTGCAGATGAGCTTCAACTGCTGCTACGGTGATGCTCTCGTCATCAGCTGCCTCCGTCACTGGTGCTGGCAGACGCGACAGTGCGTCAGCAGTGTTCTCGCCGCCGCCGGTGGCGTCCTGGTCTTCCGGCTCACTCAAGTGTACGTCAGCTTCTTGCTTCTGCTGAACTGGTGCTGCTACCTCCACCAGCCGAATTCTGTGAACCTCTGTGATGCGGGGAAACGAACATCCTTCATGTTCATCTGACTGATCAGCTACAGCATAAACCGTACTGCCATGTACGACTGAGATCTGGAGCAGTTTCTGCAAGTTACGGCCCAGCAGTGCTACCGATCCCTCCACCACGTACAGCGAGGCGGACACAGACAGACCACATGACTCAACATCACACTTCAGCACGCCAGCAACAGGTAACTCGGCACCCCCATAGGCCTGAAGTTTCACTGCGGCCGACTGTAGCGGTAAGTCACCAAACTGAGCCTGATACTGCTCCAACGGCAAAATGGAGACACCTGACCCACTGTCCACCACGAATTTCAGCCACTTGCCTGCTACCTTCAGCTGGATGTACGGACGAGTGTCTTCAGTTGGAGACGTCACTGCAACCGACAGCACTTGGACGCTGGCGACGGGCTTCTCTCCAGCAGTCTTCTCCCCCTTCTTCGGGCAGCATCGCCAGAAGTGGCCAACCTGGTGACAATCGTGACATACGGCGACACGTGCAGGACACTGCTCATCCGCACTCCAATGACCCACACGTCCACAAGCAAAACAGGTACCAGCCCGCCCTCCAGAGGGGCTTACCTTCCGTCTTGAAAGTGGAGTCATACTGCGCGTGCCGTGAGCGTACCGCTTGGTGGCCGTTGCTGCAACGCTGACCGGTGCATGCTCCCGCTCTGCAGCTGCAGTCTGCAAGCGTCCCACCGCCTGCTGTCGCTCCAGCGCCTGGTCCTCTGCAAGGGCAACAACCTCCAACCGAGGCAGAGTCAGATCATCCTCCCTGCAGAGACGTTCACGCAGACGAGCAGACGAGCACCCCTCTAGGAACTGGTCCCTGATCATTTCGTCTTCAAGGGCCCCAAACGCACACCTCTGGCTACGTTCTCTCAAGTTCGCCAAAAAGGTACGAACAGTGGTTTGGCCCTGGGTGCATTTGCGAAACAAAACTCTCTCGGTGATCACATCTGACTTTTTCTCAAACAAACGACTCAGTACGTCAACAGTGGCATCGACCAGTGACATTGTAGCAGCGCGCCCCTCAAACTTTGGCTCAACACCGCCCTGACTTGGGACCCCTGTTGGGCACTCCGCCCTGAACAGCCTCCTGGCTTCCTGTCCCACACAATGGAGAAGCAGTGCCTGACGCCTCTGCTCTCCCCAGTCAGTCCATCCAATGGCCATGGCATACACTTCAAAATCTGATAGCCAAGCAGACCATGACGTTAGCGGCTTGCCCGGGGTGGCTAACAAGGGAGCTGGCGGACGTATCCCCTCCATCTTAGCCGACTGCACTGTACCTTAAAGCTGGGAGAGTCGCAAATCCTCTATCCTCGTCGCCAAAATTGTGTACTGTCGTCCTGCCGTCCTCGTCCGCCACTCACAGTCACGTCTTCTCACATAGACGATGGTATTGAACTCAAAGAGACATAACAAAAGATATGCAGGACAGCGCGCTCCGCGCCTCTCAGTCCCCGGCCGGCGACTCCCGCCCGGGCGCCGCCCAGCCGCCCAGCTGGCCAGTCTGCCCCTGTGGCATGCTGTGCCGCCGCGAGCGCCCCGCCGGGCGGGCGGCCCAGACACTACAATTTGTAATGCTTAAAGGGAAACATTTTTGTGAGTAATTGTCTCGATTTTGACCATTAAACGGTATTGTATTTTTTGACGTCATCAAATAGCTCCAAAAAAGAAATGTAATGTTTTCATTCCGTTCAAGGCCGCTGAAGAAACGCGGGATCTTGCGTGGGACATTGTCCGTTGTTTGCCGCGCAGAGTTGTGCCGTGGTTGTGCCTTTTTCATCCGTTTCTTACTTATGTGTGCAATGTGCATGAAGCTTTGATTTTGTTTTTGGTTATTGTGTGGCCGGTCAGTCAAACGCCCCTGTAGAAACCGGACGCTGCGTTTGATCGAGACGGAGTCAGACGATGATTGCAGAAAGCCAGAAAGCTAATAATATTGAAAAGAGGGCCGGTTGCGTGGCATGTCTGTTCAGAGTTGACATTTTGCTTTACTCCAGTTTATGACCTGAGAGCCTGGCTGGAAGTGACGGATCCAAACTTTTCACGTTAAAATGGCTGAGGGTGCAATAATCTCTACATAGCGGGCTGGTATAGGAGCGTCTTGCTATGCTGCACCATAGCTGGCTAGTGATTCTCTTTTGGCTAGAAATGGCATTTAATCATTATCTCCACTGGCGAAAATGGCACTTGACATCACCGAATGCAACGTTCATGTTTGTTAGGATACATAAAATCAGGAAGATTACGCGAATTAGGTAGGCAAACGTGGAATAAAATAGGTGCTGGATGTTTTGGTTTTGGTGCTGAATCAGCAAACAGCAAATACGGAGTTCAACTAGACGATCTGGCAACTTTAGGCTGTGTGGAAGCAATTAGGTGCCAGATTCAGATATTAGGGTCGAATAAGCATTTTGGGGCTGATCAGCAATTAGGTGCCAGAAACAGCTTTTTAGGGACCAGAAACAAATATTCCCCATTATCAACGCTCCTACCAAGTTTCTGGGACCGATGGTCATGGACCTCACCCCAGTTGTGGCCCAGATGTGACGTCCCCCGTCCCAGTCGCCCGGTCCTTCCCTACTCCGGCGCGGCGGCGGCCAAGACCGCGCCGGTCCCCGCCACCGCTCAACCGGCGACTAGCGGGGACGAGCTGTCGCGCTGTCGCCGTTTTTCCTGCGTTGTCTATGGGGCTTCACAACGCACCGGCTGTCGCACCGGCGGGATTTTTCAGCCCCAGCTGTCTACAAAGAGATGACGCTGTTAAATTTTTGTGCCGTGGTCCATAGTGGCCCTCTATGGGAAGACAGCTCTGGCTTTAGCGGAAACGGACTAGTTATCTATTTTAAATGCATCAACTGAGATGCTCGAATCTGTCTCTTTATGCCTACGGCTGTCACCTACGCACGCAGGCGAGAAGCAGGTTTTTCACCTCTGCCGGGTGCGGTGAGTGCTTGGGGGCTGCTCGGCCTATCCTTTGGTCAGGCTCAGCCCCGGCAACTCACCAGGGCCGGGCCCAATTCATATAGAAAAGGTCAGTCGGCAAGTGTCACTTTGCCAAAGTGCCACTTATCAAAGGGACACTTTTGAAAACGTTGGTGCAGGTGTGTAAGGGTGGCTATATAAATCCATTTGTGGGGTCGCCCTTTCCAATAAGTGTCACGTAACAGCAATGGGACTCTATATGAACTGGACGCAGGGTGCTCGCCAAGACCAATGTCTCCATCCTATCATCCTTCCGGCTCTGAAATGGTCTTGTCAGACCGAAAGGGCATAACCCAACAAAACAAACTAAAATCGCCATCTGGCTGCGTGGTGTAGTGGTTAGCGCGCTCATACGTCACGGGGTTCGAATCCCGTCGCCGGCTGATGGTTTTGGCGCGTTGTCCTAGTAAACATGCCGACGTCGGCGACTGGGGGGTTCGAATCCCGCCGCCGGTTGATATTTTTGGCGCGTTGTTTCAGTAAACATGCCGACGTCGGCCCCGTCGGTCCAACGACAAACGATCTCGTCAACCTCGGCAAACGACCTCGGCCCGACGTCGGCTCGACGTCGGCTGGACTTCGGCTGGACGTCGGTACATGCTGAAAAATTGTATCGTTTTGTCGTTGTCGACGACAACCGATAAGACGATCTTATGGCGACCGCGCGTAGCGCCTGAACTGATAAACTCCTTCCGCTTAATGCGGTTAGAAGCGCACAATCCATCCACCTCTGCCCACGCAACCCAATCGCCTCTGCCCACGCAAACCATTATCTGTCCCTCCCCATCACATCTACTCACGCAGTTCTCGAGTCCGTTACCTCCCGTACGCGGCGGCATCCCAGTGGAAAATTTCCTGGTAGCTACAGACATATTCCAACTCCCCGTAGCTATTTAGTACCTATATACTGCGTCGTTCGACCATCGTTCGGACGGCCGATCGGCGACCCTCATAAAGACGACCAATGGCATACCAAGTGGTCGCCGTGGTTGTCCGCTGGCAACACGTGTCTGGCAAATCTAGTACATTCCAGGACTCGGCCGGCCCCTGCCCGCACCCTTCAGCGCCGCCCCCGGCCGGCGGCCAGTTAGCGTCCCCTCCAATCCGTCGGGGCTCCTTTTGTGACGTCAAAACCCACTCCGGTGGCGCCTGGGGATAGGTCCGCGGCGGGACTTCTTGAGTGGGACCGTGTCATTGCCGGTAATGTTTTGATGAGGCCGAGGGGAGGGCACGCCATGTCATGCCCACGAGGATAAAGGACTTCCGAGGTCGAGGGACACGGATCGTCGGACAACTGAGCCTGACAGCTGAGCGCCCTGCGCTATCAAAAAGGAGCGGAATTATGATATATTCGCACGCAGGGTCCGTGGCGTCTGCACGACTGAAGTGTACACAGCTTGAGCATGTTTTGTTCAAAGGTGAGTGGAAGTGACCAGTGGCACCGTCGAAGGGTCACCGAAAGGGTCAAAAGGGCTATCTAATATTTTCCGCGGCGCTGTATAGCTCTATATAATTGGCTCCCGAGTTGTGTGTCGGTGTTAAAAAAATATTGAAAGGCAATATCTTTCATTTAATGACCTTTGACTTAGCCTATAAAACGAATGTCATATTTTCGCCCTTATTTTGGACGTTCTTTCGAATGCCGTTTACTGCTTGTCACTACGTGACCCAGGATCCGAGTTAAAAAGGCCGGGTGTTTGACCCCCCCCCCCCTCCCGAGAGCAGGCGTGGAAATCAAGGACCCTCAGCGGGGCGCGGGTTAGACATCTTTAGTTGACAACCAAATAAGCCCGTTTGCCTTTGGACAACCACCGAAACACTTTTTCAGCCCTGCATGCGGGCGTACCCGACGTCCAGCCGATGTCGGGCCGAGGTTGAACCGACTTTGGGCCGACATCAGGCCGAGCCTCGGCCCGACGTCGGGCCGACGTCGGCATGTTTACTGGGATGTGACCTTGAAAGGTCAACTTGATAATTTGGCCTCAGGTCAAGGTCATGACCGGACCGGAAAGGGTCATGTTGCATATCAGTCGATCCGTATCGTCGAGCTGAGCACATCCAAGGCGTTTTCATTGCTCCAGCATGCCTCTATCAAAAGTTATTCGCGAAAAACTGTTTGATGCCATTCGTGACCTGAGATGACCTCAGGGGCATAACCAGGGGTCAAGGATACCATTTTCATGTTCCTTGTGTCTTAGTTACTTGTAATTCAGTGTTTGGGAGTGTTTATAATGGCTTTCGTCCAAAAGAGGCGCCTTGCAATTTTCTCCAATTGAGTTACAATAGGGAGGTCGCAAAATTTACCTGACCTTATAGGTCATTGATATCAAAATTCTGAGAAACACATTTTGTACATACTAATGCTGTTAGCACTCGCTGAAAGTTTCAAAGCGATCCGTCACGCCGTGTAGCTATGACAGACATTGAAACTTTTTGTGAGGTGAGGTCACTTCTGTAACGAAGTACCTCCCCTGTCCTCTCAATTAGCCTCCTTGCCGACCGCCCCGCTTTCCTTCCTAATATGGTAATCCTTTCATGATTGGCCCCGAGATATGACGTACATGTATGACGTGTAGTGTTGTGTGCCGGCCAAGCCGTGGCCGGGCCGGAGCGGCAGAGCCCCCGGCATTCGACTGTCGGGCCTGGTCACTTGAGGCCACATATTTACTAATCTCTTGGCTAAAGGCAATACAAGCCAGAAGGAACATCTTTTTTTAAACACAACGCGAGAATTCCGGGTATATTTCTTTATTTTTGACTATCACGAGCGCAAAGGTTACAAATTGGCGCCGTGAGACCCGGATACGTCGGGACTACAAGCTTCGTCTTCAAATTCTTCTTCTTCATTCTTCATCAACATAACGGTACGTCATCTTCTACTACTACTCGTCAGTCATCAGTCAGTCGGTTTTCTTTCCTATTTTCCGTAAAACTAATTCGATCACATCTCTTTATTGTTTTGTGTTGCAACTCTGCATTTGTTAAATTGTATTTGTTGATTTGTGTGTTGTGTAACCGGAGTGTTTTGACTAACGTGTTTCGTTATGGCCGAACAAACAATCACTAACGCACTTAAAGATGTAGTCCAGGAGTTGAGAGTCCAAAATCTGACCAAACATGTGAGGAATTTTCATGGCGAGGGGACCACTAAATTCATCAACTGGCTCCATGACATGGACCAGTTGTCTCCGACATGTGATTCTGAGAGGATGTGTGTCCTTGCGACACTAACGCTCGGTGGAACGGCGGGCCTGTATGTGGCTCGTGTGATCAAAGAAACCGCCGGTATCAACTGGCCAACCCTCAGACAACGCCTTAAGGCTAGATTTGGTGAGGCTGGCGACCAGTTAATGGCAAGGGAAAAGTGCAGACGGCTAAAACAACACAAAGGTGAGTCCGTGCAAAACTTCGCGGAACGGCTACTTGCCTCATGCAAGGATGCCTACGAAAACGTTGAAGAGGCAGACGTACAGCTGCTCATGGTGGAGACAT